TTACTATACTTTCCTCTACACTGAACCAGAGTTGTTGGCCGAAATTCTCGTGGTTGATGATAACTCGGAAGATCCCCTAGAGCCTCTAGTAGTGCAGTCTTTCGATAAGGGCGGTGTGTTAGAGGATCTCACGCCTGAGCAAAAAAGAAAAATACGTATACTACGGCTACCAGAACGGGAGGGATTAATACGGGCGAAGATTATTGGAGCTGATTCGGCGAGGGGTACATACATACTGTTCTTGGATGGTCATTGCAGAGTGGTGCCGGGCTATATGCAATCTATGATAAACATGATAGCTAACAATGGGTATAAGACTATAGTAACTCCTATTGTTACTGATGTTAATGGTAGAAAAATGTCATCACCAGGAATTGAACCCGGGTGGTTTGGTAGGTACTACATGGGAGCACAGATCGATGGACGGTGGATCTAAGATGATGTTTGAATGGAACTTTGAGTTTTATTGGTTTGATGATAATAACGATGAGGTGCCGATAGCAGTGGGTGGTATACAGCTGATGACTAAACGGTGGTGGACTGAGTCTGGTGGATACGATCAAGGTAAGCCTAGTTGAAATCCCGGCGTATCGAAGTGTTGTTGGTGCTGCTAGGTATGTTGGACTGGGGTGGCGAGAATATAGAGCAGTCGCTGCGTGTATGGATGTGTGGGGGGAAGATATTGGTGGATCGGGAGGCTAAGATTGGGCACATTTTCGAGAGACCGGCACCGAAAAATAAGGTTCGAAGCGGACAGGTGAGCACATGGTCAACCACAGAATTTTGGGGAAAATTTGGGAAAATTTTCATTATTTTCTGGACATTTTTACCCAATTTCTAACGTTTTTATTTTTGTGAAGAAACTCATGAGCTCGGCTGTGGAAAACGAACGTTTATTCCTCCAACACTGATTTGGTTTCAATGGAAAGTGAACTATGTGAATAGTGCTTTTGGATAGTGACATGACTGGAAGCGTTGATTAGTTGAAACATGAGAACTTGAGTGTTACAACATGAATTTTCAAAGTCAATGGGATGATGTTTTCTATCAGGTTCAGCGTAATCACGCTCGAGCCGGTTTCCTATATCTCGATGATAAGCTGGATTGGTTTATGGATCATCATGGCGCTGCTGCATATGAGATGACTCATAATCAGATGGGGCCTCATATAGGCGATAGGCTTGCTGTAAGCCGTGGAAGGGGGAAATATGCACATGTGTCGGTGACAAAATGAAAATTTTGGGAAAATTCTTGTTGGGTTCTGTACACTTCTATCCTAGTTCGTATATAAACTCTTGTGATTAGCAAGGAAACTTCTGAGCTCAGGTGAGGGAAGCGAACGTATATTCCTCCAACACTGTGTGTGTTCGAGTAGGAGGAACAGTTATCAGGTACGGCATAGTTTACAATGCCAATCTTTCGAGGAAGGCTTCATGGATCGTTTCTGGTCGGTTTTCGAGAACCAAGGTCTGCTCCTTGATAAAATGCATGCTATTCGTCATATACAAAGTGGCTTGTGTTTAGCACTGGTAAGTACTGGTTTGTATAGTGCGGACCGAACAGTTATGCATATCTAGATGGCTTTCTTCGAATCGACTACGGACTGCTTTAAAACGTTGGTGTCAATCGATTCACATTGTTATCATGTTGATATTACTCAAAGTTGAATTTCTTGGAAATATTGCTTCGCATGAAGGCTTGGTCCACACTGTAGGGTCTTTAATCTTGAATCTACGAATGCTCCTGCTAAATGTTTACGTGTTGATAGAATTTAGTGATTTTGTGTGTTAGATCAGAACTACTAAGGATTCTAATGTGAAGGACGAGAATGCACAGGTAGAGTTGAGGTACATGCCTTGTGAGCCTCACGATACAAGGATGATATGGACCAGGGTAGTCCTTCTGTAGAAGGCTAGGAAGAGGTTTGTATCTCATCTCATTGTTATCAGACACATGCTGGTACTAGAGTGTATAATAAACGCTATAATCGGTGTCTTGATCGTGGGAATAAGCCCTTCGGTCGGGCCCAGCTGGTGGTGTACGGCTGCGATGAGCATCAGAGTAATGGCAATCAGCGTTGGTATTGGGACGGGGGCCGCATTTACAGGTGACACAGATTAGGAGTGAAGTCATATAGTTGTTTTATATCAGTCCGAATCGTCCGATTTCATCGTTCCGAGCACAGGCTGTGAAAGTTGATGAGAATAGTAAGGAAACTCTGTGTATGCTGGGACCGCAAGCAGATGGAAAGCAGTTAGAGGTGCCTCCCGAACAGGCATCTAAGGGAGGTAGGGTGAAGAGTTGAAGCACTTTACTGATATGTGTTGTAGATGATCTTGTTAAGGAGGCGAACAAGTACCCGCTGGTTTACATAGAGCCGTGCCGGGCCAGGCCAGAGGCTGGTCAGCGGATTTCAGCGGACCCTTTTGAGTTCGAGAGCATTTGAAGTGCAGTACTTGTTCATTTTTCCGAGGATATGTATTCAGCAAAGAAGGTTTCGGTAGATATGAAGTGAGTGATTGTTCAATTCGGTAGCAGTTGAAGAGTTAGAAGCGTCCCGACGGAGATTTGAACCCGGGTTCATTTTCGTGAGTAACTATATCCTTGCTTGTTTTCAATCTTCTACCGTTACTGACTGAATGCATTTCAAATAGTAGCATCACTATTATGTCCAGTTAGCAATATCTGTTCTTTCCTCCATTTTTGTCGATCAGCTTTAGTTCTAGTTGTTAATGCGTATGAGCCTTCGTCACTTCACTGTAGTGACGTAGTTATGGTTAACATCGCTTTGTGATAAATGTGACATTTCGAGACTATGCTAGCGGCAAGTTTTTCACTTTCATTCTGAGATCAACGACATGTGAGAATCGTGTGCTCACTCAGCAGGTGGAATTCTTTCTAGAGGAGCGTACTATGTAGGACTGGTAATAAACGCTGAAAAAATGGTAGTTATGGTTAAGAGGTTGGATGATAGTAAAGTCACTTAAAAGGATAGGGGAGAGTTATGGTAGAGTGGGATGACGGCAATTATGAGATGTGGTTGAGACTTGTTGAAAATAGAAATTACTGATGGAATATTCATACCGATACATGAGATGAAATATGTTACAGGAGGAGGAGGAATCGCGGATGACGAGATAAGGTGTTGATAGGCTCATCGACGGTACCTTGTGGGGCTACCTTATACCGTGGTAGAGCTGTAAAATCGCAGAGCAGGCAGGTGTAGTAGTTACACACAGCTTGCAATTGAAAAACCGAAAGCAGCCGTCAGTGTTTCGGATCTGCATGGACGAGAAAGAGTGTCGAGCGTAGTGTTCATGGATCCATGTTGATTGTTGCCGCATTGGCAGCTATTTTTGATCGCATTTAATGAGGTTAATTATGGTTATGCTGTTGTTGTGTTACTGCGATCGTTTCCCCTGTCGCCGTTGTTATTGTTGTTGCTAGATATTGCATTTATGGTTGTGCCTGTTATTATACCCGAGATTGACCCTAAACCGATCCCAAGGTGAGAGGGATAGGCGTATGCATGGGTGACCCTTGGGATTGTCGTCTTATTTTCAGTCCCGACCGAGTACCCAGCGAGACTGCATCGTTGAACGCCTCCGTTTGCTTTGTTACTGCGGTACAGGGCAGATGTCTGGTGCTACTGCGGTATGCGGCAAGCGATGCCTCTTCGGTTAAGTCGCAGGAGGGGGAGAGGCTCAACGATGATAGCAATTACAGTCTGGCTCTCACTACCTCGACTATTTCCATGTAGGGATACTCTACCATTGACATTGTCTCATATCTAAGTTTTGGTGACAATATGGAAATTTTGGGAAATTGTTATTAATTTCTGTACACTCCTACCATAATTTGTATGTAAATGAGAATATTTCGGGAAATTGTTATTAATTTCTGTACACTTCTACCATAATTTGTATGTAAATGAGAAAATTTCGGGAAATTGTTATTAATTTCTGTACACTCCTACCATAATTTGTATGTAAATGAGAAAATTTCGGGAAATTGTTATTAATTTCTGTACACTCCTACCATAATTTGTATGTAAATGAGAAAATTTCGGGAAATTGTTATTAATTTCTGTACACTCCTACCATAATTTGTATGTAAATGAGAAAATTTCGGGAAATTGTTATTAATTTCTGTACACTTCTACCATAATTTGTATGTAAATGAGAAAATTTCGGGAAATTGTTATTAATTTCTGTACACTCCTACCATAATTTGTATGTAAATGAGAAAATTTCGGGAAATTGTTATTAATTTCTGTACACTCCTACCATAATTTGTATGTAAATGAGAAAATTTCGGGAAATTGTTATTAATTTCTGTACACTCCTACCATAATTTGTATGTTTATTTCTGTTATAAGTGAGGAAACTCGGCAGCTCAGCTGAAGGAAGCGAACTTATACTCCAACATTGCCAAAGTTTGTTATTGGTTTTTCATTTTCTGTGGTTTTTCAGGACGTCGTGGGATTTGACTGATGTTGAACTAAAAGTTATCGATTTGACTGGTTCACACTATAGTTGTCCCGGAATACGATCTAAGAAATCCTCGAACAGTACAACACGCCAAAAGTAACAGTTACTTTCCAAGTCATTCGAATCAGTGTGTAGTGTCAGAGCTGGAGGCGGTGGTGGTGGCGGATCTCGCCTTCTTTCGCGACACTTTGGATTTTCTCTATCTGGGGTACAACAGGCCATCCCGAGTAACGAGCCCGGCTGTGTTCTGTTTAAGATGTGGAAAGGAGGACTTTGGCGAGGTGAGTATTGATGAAGAGGGTGGTCATTACTAGTGTGCAAGCAGCACGCTGCAGTTGACCATCTGGTCCTCTAGGAAGGGGAGGTTCGCCTCGGTGCGACCTCCGCATCCTACCTCCTGATGATTATGGTATACAGAGAATTGTCGGGAGAGGCTCATTTTGAATTTTCCACGTATGGCTAGGAACACATTCTCCGATCAGTTTTCCCATGTGAATGTTGTCACATAGGAAGACTTCCCTCATGGGGGGTCCTCACTTGCCGTAGGGTGGTTTATGCTCAGGCGTGCTCAGTACCCCAGTCTCAGCAGTGGAGCCAATTCTGGTCGTTTCACAAGTACTTTCATGGCCGGACACTATCAAGAGCATCGATGCTACTTTCGTCCCCGGTGAGCGGTTCGAGAGAAGGAATTCGGTATTGAAAAAAGCGCAAAAAACCCCGCATTGGAAACAGCCATTGGAGAGATATGTTGAGTCAGGCTTCGGAGTTTGTTGTTGGCAATGATGAAATTACTACTTCCCAATTCCAAATTGAGCAAATGAAAAAACAAATTGAAAGAATGGAAATGGATTTTTGCAAAAATTTTTATACGGAATTTTACTTTTACCATTTCGTGAAAAACTTCTATTGTGTGATGAGAGGATGTAGTAGGATGAACGTAATAATTTTATCGTGAAGATTAGATTGAAGTAGAGGTGGACTTTCCTGGTTCCTCAGAGCTAGGCCCAGTGGCGGTCGCTATCGCATACGGCACTACTGAGGGGGATGATGATGATGACGATTTGGAGGGAATGTGAGTTTGCCGATTTGCTTCCTCCCGAAGTAGTAGTGCTCTCTTAGTGTGTTCGAGCCCGGGGTGCACGAGGAGAAAAGGCCAGGTTGTGCATTGCTAAGGTAAGACTCGTTTAATGGAGTTTCACCCCCCTAGTGATATGAAAAACACTAGTGAAAAAAATCATATTTCACAAACCACTGCATATCACCGCGAATATCCGGTTTTCCACGAGAGTATTACGCCACTTATGAAACTCCAAGGTATGGGAAGTGTGGAGATTATGGTGTACAGTACGTGACATCTAAAAGGCGCAATTGTTGTCAGGCAGGTTTTCCTCAACTACATGGGGTTTTGAGCTAATTTTACCTTCACCAAAAATCTGATATTAAAATGTATGTATATAATCTTCAACATTGACCGTGTGGGAAGGTGTAGTGACTGAGTATAGAACTAGTCTTGTTGAGCGACGTCGGGCAGGCGAATGGTTTATGAATCTTTCGAAATTGGTGAGATTCGTTTTATCGTTTTTTTTTCCGAGATACGGCCCTCGAACTGGATGGACCGAAGCTCTAATTAATGACCCAGAGCTACTGCCCAGACTTGCTAATGGTGTGAAGATTGCTCGCAATGGGAGCTGGGCTGTATGGAGAGTTGATAAGACCGACGTAAGGATGTGTCGCACTGAGTTGTTAGTGTTGTCTTACAGTTGCCGACGGAGGCTTCCCTTGGGGATCTGATGATGGTTGATTTGGAGCCACCGCCCATTGGAGGGAAGGCGAGAGCGCTTACCACTGAGGCGGGGAATCTTGGTAGGTCTGAGGCTCGTCTAGCTCGATCGAGGATGATACTCTAATTTATGCAAATTAGGATGCTTAGTTGTTCTGATCCGACATGCATCGTCACTGAATTCTATCAACAGTAGCATCTAATACGCACTGTATTTCTAACATGGCAACGCCAAATTCAGTACGGAGTTAAAATGTATGTTAATTTCAGATGTATCTGTTTAGTACAAATTTGAATTAGTCTTCATATATTTCAGATCGTTATGAACCTTCACCTTGTGGGAACTACATTGCGTATATGGCGAACTACGTAGAGCCTGCAAGGTCGGCACCAGCAGCTTCGACTCATTTGAATTTATATGTTGGAATTTCCACTGACGATATGAACAAAACACGAGTAAGTGACAAAAGTGACGAAGTAGGATCTCGTGTGACACGTAGGCTGTTGCGGTGTCACATCCTGGTGAGCTCATCGTTGGATTTGGTTGGGTAGAAGGAGTTCCTAGTACCCTTTGGTGGACAGTACAGTGCGGCTTCCATAACAAGACGTAGTGGTCATCATGACTTGATCACCTTACAGTGTTTACGATAGGTACATCAGAGCCGTCAGTGCTGAGTTTAGTGACACTGATGCTCTCCTGGTCCTGTCTGTGCCCTGTACGACTAGAACGATGGGCTATCAGCCTGAGGGAGGAGTTTACGTTTACGGGAGCGATACGTTGAATGAGTGAGGCTACCGTGATTAGTCCGGCGCGTGGTATGGAAATGTGATCGTTTCAGTGCACTATCTCTAGTTGCTGTTGACGCCAAGACTGGCAAGCTAGCCGGAAGCATCCCTCTCCCGTACGACGTCAGCGCTGATTCCTTGGCAGTGACTGAGCTCGAATGGGATGTGGCCCCTGGGCATCGGTGTTGTGGTATGCTATACTACTTACAGCAGAGGGATGATGCTGTGTCCCGTCGGGATTGCCCGTTGGTGGTCAGTCTACATGGTGGTCCCTGCTCGAGGATCTCCCCTATTAATAAAGTTGGAATATATGCGAGGTGCGACAAGCGTGAAGCGTTGCACAAGTCAACTGTGTAGATATCGAGATCTCCTGATGGGAGGGTATAGAGTTTTCGTACCTGCCTTCAGTGGTACTCTGGGCTTTGGTGATTCTTGGAGTAAAGCGACTATCGGCACACAGGGTAAGAGAAACCGTCAGCTGCTCGTAGACGGATCTGATAACTGTGGCGAATTTGCATGGGAAACTGATTTCAAAAAATTGCTCTTATTCAAGTGGGAAATTCAAAATAAAGTTGCTCCCGGGAACATCGTAGGTTTCGGGATGATCCCTGAGGCCAGGTAGTCGCGATGTAGAGGAAGTAGTGAGTGGCATACAGCATGTGCAGAGAGAACTGAGAGGAACGCCAGCCGGTCGTGTTAGCCTTGTTGGTGGCAGTTACGGCGGGTGAGTTGTTGTCAAGTTGCTCAGCTTCGAATTATGAGGCTTGGGGTTTCCTTCTCAACAGATGATAAATAGATCTCGATCGTGCAGAGAATTCTCATAGTAGTTTCGGGAAAAATTGGAAGTGTCAAGTGGACACTATTGCTACATGTATCCTCTGTTGCTTACCTGAATTCACTCAGCAACATTTTGTGTTTCTGCAGATACCTCGCCTTGCGATGCGTCATACTCCATCCGGAAATGTTCCAATGTGTCGTGGCGAGATACCCGTGGGTTTCCACCAGATGGAACGGAGCAGAGACGGGTGAGTCTAAAGCGCCTTCCCCCCAACTTGTATAAGCATATCTCAGGTGACTTTACTTATGAAGATGAGTTTTGGGCAAACGAATCTGAAAGTACAGTGTGGCCGGTGCCGTCGCAGCTGCAAGAAGCTGATGTACTCGGCCCACAGGTTCTGCAGTTGCTAAAGGTTCCACTACTGCTCATGCACGGTAATCCTATAGTATTGATTTCATGGTGAAGCGAATCTCTTCAACGGAGTATGATAGTGATTGGCTATTGAGTGGAGTTTCACCCGTTTCACGTGAAGTGGCGTAATGCTCTGTGGAAACTCCGATATTTGCGGTATGCAGTAATTCTCACTAGTGTTTTTCACATCACGGGTGAAACTCTGGTGTATTCATAGCTCATCATCATTTTCAAGCCTTGTTGAGGTTTCAGCATGAAACACTGCTCAGTTAGTGTGAAATGCTAAATTTCCAAGAAAAAATACACTCCTTATGTGATAGTAATAGTGCTCCATATTTTTTCAGGGTCAAAGGACAACGTATGTCCTGTATCGAACAGCAAGGTTCTCTTCAATGTACTTGACAATCAACGAGGGAGCTCGGACGGCATGGCCGCCGATCTTCGATTCGTCGTGTTCCCTGGCGAAGGCCACGGCTTTAGAGGTGCCGCTGCGGCAGAGGCAAATATGAGGCAGCTCAAATGGCTCCATAAGGTAAGTTTATGTAACGCCAAGTCATTATGATGCATCTAAAGCCATTTCAGTTCATGCCGGTGACGGAGAATGTATCGGTTTAATTTTCGGATGTGTGAGGTTGATAGTGATTGTAGTTTCTCTAGATGCTCTGGGTTCGCGTTCTTCGGAGTGGTTGAACCCAGTTGTAGCAGTAGTCTACTCACTGGAACTCAGTGATTAACAGCGGATGTACCGAGTACACCTATTCAGTGATTGAATTCGCCACTGATATCGAAAGGCGAGTGACCACCTAGTAGGCGTCGTTATCTGGACGGAATGTACTGCTGTCCATGAGGGCACCGCCATTTTCCACTGCGATAGATTCGGGTATACACCAAATCAGTGTTAATATCAAGTATACCTGTTGGAAGGATGGATCGCCTTTCGTATAAGGAGGGAACGGGGGTGTGAGAGATACGCTCCAATGAGCATTCATACGAGGATACACCTCTGCATTCGACCACCACGTTATATATTCTGTGATACCACATTTCTTCAACTTTTCACACTCAAGTCCCCCTAAATCTCACGAAGCACGATCGATTATTGTACAGCAGCACGAGATATAAACTGTGTTGAATGTTCAAAAAATATGATAATATCCAAATCTATAGTGGCAATGGTTGAACGATGAATCTGGGCGGCCTATGGATGCCATCGTCTCGAGGGATAGGCTCATATATATGAGCATAGGGCAGAATCGTCAAGACGGTCTCGTGGCACAAGGAATTGCTGCTACTGGCCAGCAAACCAGTGCCGTTGGTCCCACTCAAATGGGGATGGATTCCCAGACTGGCATGCGACCTCGAACTCATCCTTATCGAGGGACCCAGTGCCTGCGAAAAGAAGTGAGAAGTATGGCACGATGGTGCAGAGCGTACATGTTCGAATAATCTTCCACTCACTAGTTCTTCCGCGTGCGCCAAAGGCGTCAACTCTCTCTTCAAATGGTTAATAGCCGCATCGGTCATATTCCGACTCCGACTCAACTTCAGCACGGATAAAGAGCCCATAGACTCCATGTCCTCGAGGAAAGCGTCACTCCATAGATCGTTCACCCCAATCAGCTCCAAGCGCTCCAAACGCACGAGCTTTCCCGAGTTCAGAATTGCCCCACACTCGTCCGACAGGTGCCATATGGAGTCCCGAATCGCGAGAACTCGCAGGTTCTCCGCAGCAGCATCCACTAGTGCGGCCAAGCCCGACGTCGCCAGGGAAGCAACAGCCGTCAATGTTATATCAGTCAAATGAGCGAAGTGAAGACTGTCACTGAGGGAGTATATCGGCGGCAAGATTACGCCTTGGAACATCCATCTCTGTGTTGGATTCTGGAACTCTTCCAAATGAAGTGAAATCAAATTCGGGGATAATTTCGGCAAAAGCTGTGCAAATACATTACCGCGAATATTCGGCGCTGCTCTGAGTCCAGTCATGTGCATAACAATAGGTCGTAGGGCCTCCTCCGGCATGGAAAAGGTATTCATCAGCTGATTGTCATCGATGAAGTCACACTCGAAGGCGTCCAATAAAGGGAGCTTCGCCACCACAGCAATCAAGTCTGTGAATGTCGATCGCCTCAGGCGTGTTTCGTCTTCTGCCATGATTGCCAACGCCCGCAAAGACTTAGCGGCTGATAGCATTTCCTCAACTACAATGCAAATGTCTTCAGTCAAATCAACAAAGCCAAGACGGGGATTGTCCGTCCAAGTGAGTCGGAGGTTGACCAACTGCTTAATGACCTCTTCTAGAGGACGGAGACACTCCATGTCAAGGGGGCCGCAAATGTCGAGATCTCGCAAGGGCATGTAGTCCGACGAGCACACACTATCCAGAATCTCACAGAACAGTTGGTAGGAAGCACTGTCCCGTGTACGCATGCACAGCCTCGTGAGACGATTAAAGTGCATGCACATAGGCAACGACTGTCGCAGCCTCGGCGTGCCGTTGAATCTCAATTTAAGCACCATTTGCGGCAACGTCGATGCAGCCCTGTACAAGATCCTGATCAGGCCTTGCTGACGTCGTTCCAAATCTGGACAAGAGAATTCCAATCCGGTGCTCGACCAGAGTAGAGGGTCCGTCGAGGCCTGCCAGAAGCCCTTGCATACAACAGACAGATGGGAAGAATCCCTCGTCTCGAGATAAGAGAAGATATAAACCGGAAGTGGCTGCACCAGGAGAGTCCGCCCGTCCCGACTGCGAACAGGAGGGCCGACTGGACTGTTGTTGTCAAGACCAACCGACATATCGGGTGGTAGAGATTTACATGGTTGGAACAGATTAAGAAATTTCCTCAATGCAATTGACATCGGATCAGGCTCTACTGATCTGAGTATTTGGTTGAGCCAGTCTGTCAACGCATGGGCGCGCTCGTTGAGAACGCGATCTGGCGCCAAGGAGGCGAATATGATCTTCTTGGGGAAGGCTATTTTAGGCACTTGCACTGGATGAGATAGAGCAAGGACGTTGCGCAGGTCTAGGAACTCCGAATAACGACGTGTTATTCGCCATTTGAAGGGCGCGGTGGCGAGGGAGATCTCTAGAGTGTAGCGAGTTACGAAATTGGAAGTGTGAAATGAGACGAATGACGCTGCATATTCGGGCGTGTTGGAATCGAAATCCATTGAGAGTTCAAAGACTACAAAAACACACTGCGAGAGTATGCAAAAAACAATCCTGATGCGTGCCGTTTTTCTTGAGTGGAAACTAAATTATAGTCGAACGTAGATTGCCGATGATGGCGATGCGTGCCGTGATCTCATACCCTTCCAACACCGAGACGAGTATATGAGAAACTCCCATCCAGTTTTGGAGGAATATGTAGATGTTTCCTTTCCTCAGCTGAGCTCAGGAGTTCCATCACTAGTTATAGAAGTTCACATACGAAGTGTACAGAAACCAACAATTTTAATCTCTCAAAATTTCCTCACAATTTTCATATTTTCACCAACACATGTGGTTGATCATGTGCGTATTTCCCCCCCAAAAAATTCTCACCGTAAAAAGATAAAGAAGAACATCACTTCTCGGCAAAATAGAGTTAATGAAAATTCCATCAGTAGCATTACCCTTGGCCGAAGACACTGCACTACTTTGACGTACTCTATCACCATCATCACCATTATTGATTTATAAACCATTGACGGTTTCTGAAAGGGCCTATTCAAGTTCCTACTAAGAGGACCTTTCAATAGGAAAGTGAATAGGCTTCGATTCATACCACACCAAATGGAACTACTCGAAATCGGTTCAGTTTGAAATCGATAAACTTCCAGAGTTACAGTCGTTATTGCTCTACTTGATAACCTTCTTGAATGTTTTGATTTCAACAGCCTCACACGAGCGAATCTTCCTACCCGACCGCCTCCCTGGAGATTCGTCTCGAAGTGTTGCGGTTCAAATATCTACGGAAACACTATAATGTTATAACAGCTGTCATCAGTTCGAAGCAGTCTTCCAAGATGCAGGTTGACATTAGCATAGGCGTGCTCGAACTCTTCAGCCCTCTCGAACGCCTTCAATTGAAGTCGGTATGCTTTTGAAAAACCCAGCTATTTTATGAAAATTTTGGGGAAAAATAAAAAAAAGTATTTTTCCAAAAAAAGCGGGTAAATTAATGAAAATTCGGTTAAAATATTAAATTGCCCTGGAAATGCTGTAGCCATTGTACGAACAGCAGCTGATAGAAGCTCACTGAGCATTTACGACTGTGGGGAATTCAACGTTTTCATCACTTCCTCATATTGCTCCGACCGGGGATCGAACCCGGGTGCATCGATAGCATCGATAGGCCCTGGCTAAGACTCAGCTGAATTCTTGTAGTCTTGCATTATCTCCACGCTTCTTGCTGCGCTTTCTGCGCTGAGGCTTCTTCTATCCGAAACTACCCTCGCTGTGCGTGAGCGTGATGAGCTTTAAGTGAGAGCCTTTGCTAGCTCTCTCAGTATCTACAGAGTTCATTCTGTGGACTCTCTTGACCTCGTGCCTTGTCGTGGTGTTGATGGGAATGTGTAGTTGCATTTTAGCGAGCTTAACTCGTCGAGCTCTGTGATGTAATCTCTTGTAGATTTGACGGGAAGTCAGCTGTGTAGTTCCCGGGAAGAATTTCGACTTGTTCTTTGTTCAGAAGTTTTTTCCGGTTTAACCAGTTCTCGAGATGTCCCAGCAAATGCCCCCAGCCAACCGTATGACCTTGCAGACTTTCAAGGCCAAGGGTGTCGGCGCCAAGAAGGGCCATAGTCTTCTCAAGAAGAAGCGTGATGCCCTTAAGAGCAGATTCTCGCAGATGCTCAAGGAAATCGTCGATGTAGGTTTGGCAATTGTATAAGTGCTTTTTCATCATTCCTTCTTGTCAGACTAAGAAAGCTGTTGGCGAGAACATGGCTGATTGCTCCTTCTCTATTGCTAAGGCTAGATGGGCCGGCGACAGTGATTTCGTCCAGACTGTTATTCAGCGAGTCAAGAAACCTAGGTGAGCTTGCTGGTGTAACTATTCAGTCTCCTGATCTCATTTTCTTCTCAGTGTCACTCTGAAGGTTTCAGCTGAGAACGTTGCCGGTGTCTTCCTTCCCAAGTTCGATCTTCAGAGGGATACGACGTTGGACGTAAGTCGTTCATTCGATTTCATCTCATCGGTATCATTTCTTTTCACTTCAGGGCCCCATGATGAGCCTTGGTGCTGGACAGGGTGGCCAAGTGATTCAAACCTGCAGACTGCAACATGCCAAGGTCCTTGAGCTCGTAAGTGCTTCCTGTGTATACTTGTGAAATGTGACGACTTCTCCCTCAGCTCGTCAGGATGGCCTCCTTGCAGACATCTTTCATTACTCTAGATGAGGAAATCAAGATGACTTCGTAGGCTAGTGTTGGTATTTCATGTGGCTGTTGTTGATGTTTCCTGTCCGTAGACGTCGTGTGAACGCTCTCGAATATGTGGTGATTCCTCGTATGGAGACAATTATTCACTTCATCGAGCAAGCTATGGACGAGCAAGAGCGTGAGGAGTTCTTCAGAGTGAAGAAGATTGTCGAGAAGAAGAAGGAGAAGCAGGCTAAGGAGGCCGCCGACCGTGCCGCCGAGGGCGGAGGTACGTGTGTGGGAACAAGGCTATCACAATGGAATTTTAGTCTCCAAAATGACGATGTAATTCTTCCCTCAAATGTTGTGTGTTTTTCAGAAGCCGGTGTTCTTGCTATGGCCGTGGGCAACGAGGACCAGGTCGGCACCGCCTTCGATGACGTGAAGAAGGATGCGGAACTGGTGTTCTAAGAGCATCGGTGTAGCTGTCTAATATCTTCGTTGGCTCAGTGGCTTGTTCCCCATAGTGGTCGGAATTTCTTCATAGTCTGTCGCATTTCTTGTGACTATTTATCCCCTTCAACCAGACTGTTCAACTGATTGTGTGTGGCTGATGCCATCGCACGTGACTGTTATAGCGTGTTCCTCCCTGCGAAGATCATCACTGTGTTCTCATCGAGTTGTTAATTGTTTGGCCGTATGGGTCGGTATAGTAGTAGAACGTGGAAGGCTTAATTGATGTAGTAGTTACCGTTCTGGTGGTTAGTCGGCTCAGGGAGGAAGCTTAAGGGCGTTCTAGATATTGACAGTTTCTGAAACATCATCCCTTGCGCTCCTATTGCACGTCACCTAATACGGGTGATACTTCCCATCCCCTTCCTATTATACATAATAGATGATCGGCTGTCGGTGGGAGGTCCATGAATTCCAATTCAGCTATTTGATCCTGGTGAGTCTGACTGTCATTAAAGCTAGTGGTGTTGGAAAGGATGCTCCGGGTCAAGATGGCCACATGTTCGAGGCGAACCATTTCGCCCGAGCCGCACGCGCCATTGATGACTGTGCGTCTGCGTGGTGCTATTTTCGCACGCAGACCCGAGTTCTGGTGTAGATCCTCTACACATTCTTATGTTGTGTTGAACAATGACGCGCATTACAATGAAATCTCGCTGCCTGGTCTCGGGTGTATGAGGGGGAACTTTCATTCAGGCTCCTATCAATCTCGTATGGGCTTTTACTGGGTTGGTCTTGAAATGTTGTAGAGCCGCCGTCGAGGAGGTTGTAGAGAAAAACTACTTTCTTCGATATGTTTAAGTTAATGCGTGGAGTGATATGGAGGTGACTTGGTTGAAAATAGTCGGCCAAACTAGAGAGAAATATTTGACAAATCCGTTGAATTGACTAGAGTGAGAAACGCAAAAGTTTTCTTACCCATTATACATAGATGAACTCTTTTATTTTCAAGGGCAGCCAAATATCCTCATATGTCAAGTCTCTGACCATCAAGCATAAATCTCGAATTTGTTGTAAACCTTCTTACAAGGGCTTTATTCTCGGGTTTAGTATGTATTATATGTTCATTTCTCAACAGGGACTTGATCCTGGATAACGTTTGCGAATCATGTGAGAGTCGGCAACTCTAACTTGGTAAAAAATCATCATTCACCGTTCGCTAGCGCTGTTAGGAATGTTGATCCACGTCGCCTTCACCAGTGGTACTTTCGCCTCGCCAGTAGCTGTCCAGCGACGGTATCTATCGTGGTTGGGCAAACAGAAGAGTAAGGCTCGGAACTTGGCATTACATCAACACAATCAATGGATGACTGAGCTGCAGGCGGCTAATGAGGGTGACAAACAGATATGGATGGTTGACAAACAGCTAAGGTCGCGACACGGGGGGGAGTAAACCGTGTTTATGGATTCTCATTCGAACTCTGGTTATGTTCCCTGTGATGGAATTGATCGCGGGTTCAGGACACCGAGGCAACGAATAGAAACCAAGTTTCGATACTCCTCACCACATAAACAGAAGTCTCAACAGCTGGGAGAAGTTCCAACGGGGATATGGGCGGACGAGGATGATGAAAATCTGACGAGCCTAGAGGAGCTCATCAAACCTACGTATCGGGGACCTGTTTGCAACGTCCCTGTCGAACCGGTAATGTTATCAGTTCAGTGTTGGCATATGCTCAACTGCATGTCTTGATTTTGAGCAAATTTCTGCGAAATTTTTCCTATACGAATTCACATAGCAGTGTACGGAAAGCAAGAGAACTTTCATGGTGTCACCAAAACTCGTCGTTCACTATATGCATATTTTCTCACATTGATTCGGTCGGTTGATATGAACCAGTGAATGGCAATTTTCAGTTCGGGAGCATCACGGTTCAGCACGGCAGCATTTTTGAATGGCAAGGAGATTGTCTGATACTGCCGATGTCACCGAATATCATGCCTTATAGAGGCTTGCCACTCGAGGCCTTAGAAAGAGGTAGCAGGGCGATCACTCACTTTATTTTTTTTCGGAGTGTAGGGTGAATTCCGAATTGATTTATCGTATGTTGTCAGGTGGTCGCGATCTCATCAAAGATGTTTTTGGATTTGTCCGATCGGACGAGTCTCTTCGGGAGCAAATAGAGCCTCCTGATCTCGGCCCCACTGTGAAGGCCAACTTCAATTCAGGTTTACCGGTCGGAACAGTGATACCGGCGCCTGCTCACGGTAGTCTGCGATAGAAATCTGTCGGTTTGACTTCGACTTTTCACCAATGATGTTAGTGTATGTAACCGATTTCATTGATAATTTTTTTAACAAATGTGAACATATAAAATTACTCGATAGTGTACTATACTTCATAGTAATATATACGGCTTTGTACTCGCGATGTAATAATAGGTATCGAACTGAACTCGCCATCGTGTGGTATGTGGCGAATTCGTCCAATGCTGTTATATGGCACCGCTCAGGTATCAACAACGTAGCGGCAGTATTCTTCGTAGTTATGCCATATTTTTGGCAAGGGTCGAGTACAGATGCTGAGAGACGGTTCAGATATGCTATCCGATCGGCATTGGAATATGTGTCGTCTCACGCCGAGATCAGATCAGTTGCCATCCCTCATTTGGGGCGGGGGATCTTTGGGTTTGCCGATCATAAAGGATCGATGGGTAATACGTATACCATTCAAAGGTTAGTATTTACTCTAATAAGGTAGCTTTGGAATTGTGGAATACTGGAGTTTCACTCCAGTTATATGAAAAACACTAGTGAAAAACTTATTTCACGACCACTGCATATCACCGCCGTTTTTTTCACCGAGTTTTACGCCACTTCACGTAAAACGGGTGAAACTCCACCGTATTATTAGCTCGACTTGCTAGAAGAATCTTATTAGCGCATTGTTCGCGGCCTGGTCTTACATGTTTTAGGGCGGCAATTGGTCGAATCCAGCTGTTCGGTACACTGCAAAAGATCGAGCTCTCATATACTGGCGATGCTGATGATGTTAATATAGGTCCAACGATGATTATGGCAGAGGAGGCCTTCGATGCTATACTATGCCGAGATCGTACTAGTAATATCAACTACTCACTGCAGAATGTGACACTCATCGGTATCGACAACGACGTGGTGGAGATGATGCGAGATAGTTTATTAATGGTAGTATATAGTCGAAATTGTGATAGCCATCTTAGTACGGTTAGGTCGCCGAACGGACCTTTCCTGATAAGCAAGTGGAGCCTGCTGCGTTACATCAGGGAAAGCTGGCCAGGCGGCTCATTATGATGCACGATATGCATGAGCTTAATCTAACTAGAAAACGCGATAAGTGCGTTGTTCGGTCGGGGGGCATTTGAAGTTGAGAATTATGTGAGTATCAGATACAAATTTAAGAAGTACTCGGGTGTCATCCGGAACAGGGCAGACCATTGGCGTGCTAATATTATGCCGTGGGTATGGAGATCACAGAAAGTTAATATACCACCACCTTTGATGGTTCGGAAGAAGACTGGCGCGCCTCCAGCTATTGGAGAGGACACGAGGTGTGTTGTTACTTGTGAAGAATCGATCACCACGTATTTGTGATTTTGTTTAGTTCACGACTTCAACCTAGAGGGCGACCACACTATTATACGAACGTCAGTCACTGGCTCTTCCCCACTGACACACAGTCGGGCTTTAAGAGCATACGGAGAACAGCTGGTGGACGATGGGTTGGACAGTCTCCTGGCATGCCCAAGACGCAAGACATGGTCAAACCTCGAGCTTAGCTTGTATGTTTTGCATGTTTGTGAATCTGGTTTCTGTGTAACAAGAGGATGGTTGTGTGCATTTACATAGTCGGCTTTGGAAGCAACTCATCACAATATGCACAAGACTCGGCCAAATTAGTAACAAATATCCTTACCCAAAGTATCAAGTAGTAGTAGTGTAGTACCACGAATAGTGTAATGTAATGGTAACATATGTATACTATATAATGTCTATTTTATTTGTCAATCGTATTAGTATAATGGAGTTTCACCCGTTTTACGTGAAGTGGCGTAAAACTCGGTGAAAACGCGATATTCGCGGCCTGTAGTAGTCGTGAAATATGTTTTTCACTAGTGTTTTTCATATCACGGGGGAAACTCCAATACACATAATATCCTATATGTGCCAAACTAATCACGCAGTGACAATCATTGGAACTCAACAGTACGAACAACGGTCGAAAACCCCTATGAGAATGGAAAATGACCAGACGTACGAGACAGTAAATCAAGAGTTGTTGAATTCGATGCTGCAGCGTTAAAACTGAACAGCCACAGCATCACGGTATTTTTATGACGAACTGAGCAATACACAATAATTTGCCACGAACAAGAGATATTTCAAGAGAATACATTGGAGCGCTTTAATAATCGACCCTACATGGTCGGCTTGTTCTTCCTCTGGTTAATGGAGGCCTTACTATCTACCACAGTGTGGTCCGATTCAGAATGATCTGCCGAGTTATCAGCAATCACTTGTCGACCGAAAATGTTACGCTCCAAAGTGCTCCATTTCACGGCGAACGCCGTCAAAGCATAGATTGTGTGATAAATCCTGAATCCACTTTCCCTCTTCAGTTTACGTAGATCACTCTGACCGTCCACAATATCAACGAGATAGTCATTACGCACTTCCACCAGAAGGTCAGTGCACTCTTGTACTTGCACGTTTACATCGTCAACGATGGGTTGAATCTCAACCTTCTGTCCAGAAGAAAGCATTGGTGATATCGTCTCGGCCGACTTCCCCACAGCCTTCTGAAGACCATTTATCGCTCCTATAAGCGGACGCAGGGCTTTCCTTGCAGATGGATCCGCCAGGAAAGGCGCTGCCGAACCCAAGGAGCTGCTGAGCACCAACGCATCACGCAAGACTTCCGCGATCAGTTCTTGCTCCAACATAACTCTGCGATCAACATCCAAGATTTTTGTGAAGGGACCGAAGACCGCGATTTCAGCCCTAGCGTCGCTCTTGAGAGATTCTCTGTTGGCTAGCGACCGATATATCTTCAAACCGAGATCTTTCACGCCCTCAGCAAGCTCGTCTCCGGCGACTGTACTGTCATCATCAGGTTTAATGGACACCACTAATTTGAACTGGCGCTCAATCTGGCTCACCACATCCTGCAGCACACGCCCGGAAGCCCGGCGTAGCTCATCAGAGGCAAACTGTGGGAAAGCAAGGATGCTCCCGGTCATGGCGATCACTATTCCGCACAGAGTGAAAGCGATACGCCAACAAGCGTTATAAAGCATGAAACTCGTCGAACCAGTGAGGAGTAGCGAACCAAAACCAACCACGGTGAAAGTCAGAGGGAAGACAAACCAGCGTAGTCGACCCAAGGTACCGCGACACGACCCAGTCTACCAACGAAGCTGAAGATCAGCAGCTCCAGCAGAAACGCGGCCTTGTCTCCAGGATTGGCAGCGATACATATAAGTGAACACACCGCGCCCAGTACGGTACCAATCGCACGTCGCGTTCCCTTGAGCAAAGATGCTCCCGGGGTCGGCAGGAAACACATATAGATGGGCACTACCGACCAGAAAGCATGCATTCTAACATTTTCGCTGTATGTCGCCCAAGCTGACAACGGCAGTACCACACAGAAGAGCGCGATACTGTAACGTATTGGGAACTTCAACCGACGACGCAAGTCAGCCTTGTCCTCGAGGTCAGCGAAGAATGGTTTTTCCCACCATCCAGCAAGAGCGCGCCCAAAACTAATAAATGGACGTACGTAAGAACGAACCTGAATAATCGTTCAATAAACCGATCTCGAAACTCAGAAACAGCGATTTCAGAATCGCTTCTTGAACGTATAATACGCTGCTAGAATCGATTCTGAATTCCAGAACAAATTCAATTAACATCGAATGAAACTCTCACAAACAGACGTCACACTAACTGTGCTCGACTCACCTCGTTGTCGCCCTCATAAGCCTTCTGTCCCTCCTTCACGACGACTTCTCTGTACTTCTCCACAAGGTACGCGAAATACACCAGCGAGCCCATAGCATAGTGAAATCGGATGACCTCAGGGGTAGACGGGCCGTTTTCTATACCACTTTTGGCCACAACCATTCCGACGTCTTCCAAGGACCTCAGCAGACTGCCCTCACAGTCGCCTAGCTTCTGCTTAAGCTTGCCGTTATCATCATCAGTATTGCCCTCAGCCGTCCGCGACAACACCAAATCGACTTCAGTTCTTAGCTCCAGAAGGTCACCAGCGATGGGTTTCCACAACTGGTCTACCACAGCTGGTTCAAAGTCGCCCATCTCAGTGAGACTCTCATGAAGGGCGAAAAGCTCTCCCGACATGTGGAAGAGAATAGTAGCGACATCCGGGGGCAGGGGACTTCTAGCAAGATTCACACAGATACCACTGAAGCGTTTCTCAGCAGCATCCAGGAGCTTTCTGTGCGTGCCTCCACTGACGAAGTAATCAGTCAAAATTCCGTTGAACCTAGCGGCCTCGTAAGCAAACCTCATCTTAGCCGGCGGACCAGGGGTAATAAGCAAACCGAAGACCTTGAGAATAGCCAGCAGCACCAGAGGTAGGCAAAATGCATATATGGCCATAACGAAGGCAACTAGAGTCTCCTTGGCTGGTTCTTCAAAGTAAAGTGAAGTAGGAATGTACACGAAAGCCGAGGCAACGTTGGGCATGATATAATCTCCAAGTTTGCATCGTGACGTTGGCGTACCCAATGCGAAGAGAAGGCTGAAGGGATAAGTAACCACTGTGGCCCAAATACGGGAGTATTCAGCATTCAAGCACTGGCAAACAGCTAAGACGATTTGGTACATGATTTCACCGAAGCCGAATGCAAAGCAGAGGGTGATGACGCCTTTAAGACAGAACGTAGACGCGGCTCGCATGTCCATAGTAACTCCTTGAGAAACCACAGCTCCGACCATCTGAACATAAAACATGAATAATAACGTAATGGATAACAAGAGTGATTACAAGTCTGGGGACGAGGACTGCATCTTTCATATGGTAAGCATAGCAAGGAATAATGGCGAATCCAACACATGCTGTGGTGAATAACGCACTCGCCAGAGCATACGTTGAAACCGAGGAAGGCTCCTTGGGTGGTGACATGCAGGACTGAATGCTAAGCTGAGTTGAAAAACAACAAATGGCTGAGAGGATCTCGATAGCGTTACGAGCAAAAGCACCGCTACGGCCGCTTCAGAACAATACCACTTTAGAGCAAACCGAAATAGATCTCAGTGGCAACACCGAAACACCATGTAGACTGGAAACGGCCAGAAGATATGCAGCGTTTCATGAAGATATGGACGCCCAGTTTTGGAAGATATGCACATGTTCGACTAAGAAACTCGTTAACGACTTGTTACAGAGGTCGTTTGAGCATGTAGATATCGATCGAAGGCCTCCTCCGCCTCCTTAAGAGCAGAGAAACGTGATGATCCAATCATGTATTGCTTGTATGATGAGGAACGTTTCAATCGAACTCGTTAACGAGAAACGTCGTATTTTCGAATTTGCCTGGGAAAAAATTACGCTCCTTACGGGAGTTGAGGACGGTGAGGAAATCTTAGGTGATTCTTGTAGATTTTCATACACCTCCACCCTGAATCGTGTGTGAAAGAATATAATGCAATAAGGAAACCTCTGAGTTCAGCTGAGGGAAGCGAACACATTCTCCTCCAACACCAGAAGTCTGAAGTGTCATGAGTACGAACTTGCAATTCGACGAAAACACCACAGACTACCGACACAACTCAGCTGCGGCATTCCGATTGTGACCCGAGTTCGATTCCTGGGGCAGCCTTTTTTCTGCAAGTGACTTCGCAATTTCGAAGACAAATAGAAGCATAGAGCGTGTTAAAATCGTTCCGATTTCCGAGTGCTCCGTTTTCGAGTTCCGAGAGTTCATAGACTAAAGTGTGATCCCTCGGGAGAGCCCATTTCTCGAGTCGCCGCTGACATCAGTTGGGTCTCAGGAAAACACCAAGTATTAGGATGTTGCCCCAGTGACCAAGGAAGGCTAAACACCGTGAATCTTCGGATTTTGAGCCTTTCCGAAAACTTAGACTCGGAAATTAGAGAACCGGCTCCAGTGGAGTGGACTAAATTACGGACATGTTGGGCAATGTTCAGCATATAAGCCCATGCTTTGGGGGTTTTAAAACGCACACAACGATTTGACTGGGGTTCTGTTGTAGATTCGAAGCGTCTTTGGGCCAAAGAAGGAACTCCAGGGAGTGAAATTCGTCTTAATAACACTTTTCGTTCTAACATTAATTTCGGTCGAGCTACGAGATAAGTAGAAGGTAACGAATGCCCGCGACCCGGTGTCCCTGAGCTTCAGGGATTGATAACACAAGTAAAATGAGCTTATGCGAAGCTTAACTTATAGAAACTATCCCATGAAGGAGGGTAGAATAGCTAGGCTAGACGCTAGCTACTATTGTCTCCACTATGATAGTGGCACTATCGCATAATTGTGTCGGCGGAGCGAAGTGGAGGGATGAGTGTCATCACACCGAACATATAGATCGAGTACAGATGCACCCTTCGGGTACCCTACCTAAACTGTTTTGCTGGCGAACACAGAAACCTTTGATGTAACTGCATTAGTGATAGGATAGCAAGGGGACCAGAAATAATAGAATCCTCACTGGCAAGAATTTAACGCGGCAACCTATATTTCAACGAGGTCTGGCTAGTGTCTCTACGACTTGGGAAGAAACAACTCCGTCGTACTCGAAACTCAATTCGTGCAGTTTATGAAAAAAATGTTATTTCGACAACATCCACGATCGTGGTCCTCCTTGCTCATCGCTCCTCGTTATCCATTCCTCGCCCCTGTTATCCGTAATAACATATGATTCGTCAATTGGATCGTATCGTACAGCCCACTTGGGTGACCCTAGATCTCTGGAATCGTCTAGGCTTGCGTTTGCCATTTGGTCAGCGAAAAATTTCACCCCGAAACTCGGATCCCTCCATTTCGATTCCTGGCGTTCGTGACTTCGTAGTGAAGCCTCGGACGCCGACTGCTCCGGTCGCGATAAGTGCTCGCCCAGGATGCTCTGCTTTGTAGTGTCATTAATGGTATCCGTTAAACCAACCGCCAGGGGTTGCTGAGTGATAGCCTCTGTAACTTCGTTGTCGACGGACATCGGATCAGCAGACGAGAGCTCATTGTCGAGCTGCGCAGCTTGGCTAGAGTTCTCGCTCTCTGCAGTGACCACATCCTCCGAGCATAGCCTTAACACTTCACGAGTATCTTTCTCGGCATCAGCGATTTGGCTCACTGACCCTTCTCGTGTGTGCGGCTCAGTTACCACACTAATCTCGCTTCTATGATACTCCCTGTCCTCGAGAATCCACTTAGGCTCATTGACCGGTGCTCCCCTTGAAGTCACTTCCCTGGCCGACGCCGGTAAAGACTCGAGCAAATCATGTACTGGGCTATCGCATAGAATTTCATCATCATCATCATCATCATTGACTTCAGCCTGACGATGGAGTTCGGACGGACCCTGGGGGCTGTTCTCTAACACTTCGATGCCCCGGACATCAGTTTCGGCAACACTACTGGTCGCTGAGCTCGCATGAGCAGTTTCATCGGCGTTGTGGTTTTCACTTATTCCTACATGGCTTACTTTCATTCTCTTCAAACTCTCCTTGAACACTAGCCTCAATTCACGACTTTGCTCTCCTGATAGACCTTCCACGATAGTAAGAGCCTTACGGCAGAACCCTTCCGCAGATTCCACATCGACACCCTCGGCGACCAGCTGCACTGCATAGTTGTTGCAGGCGATTGCGTGCATGACGGCCAGACTCTCATCGCTTCCCGAACCAAGCAACTCCTCAGATGCCCCATATGCTAGCCTAGCGCTTCGAACAGCTTCGCCATAGTCTCCCGTTGCACTGCATAACTCACTCAGATTCATACAAGTGGCAACATACAGTTTCGCGGTTTCTTCGTTTCTGTCGAAGCTTATTGTGCCAATAACTGTTCGGAGGTATTCCGTAGCTTTCATCAAGTTCCCTTCTTTTTTTCTCAACTGAGCCATGTTATTCATAGTGAGTACGAACAGCGTTCTCAGATCTTTCGCTGCCTCAACAGGCATCGCCGCTGCGAACGCCTCGAGGCATTTCACTGCAAGCAACAGGCCCTGTTCTGTTGCCGTCTCGTTCAGTGCAGATACCACGCGACGTCCTAACTGTATGGCGAACTAACATACGCAACAGCTGAGCCGCTACCACACCTTCATTAATTTCTCTTTCTCCTTTGGTTTCGCTTCGCTTCCTTCACCGATTGTGTGCGTAGCTTTCAATAGCATCTCCGCTGCCTCAATTATCTGTTTGTTGTCGAGCCTAGCCTCTACAACGGTTATGTACAGCGACACCAACGTAGAGCAGGGCATCGTCAACTTCCTTCACAACTTTCTATTGAAAACCATCCAATAAGACCAAGTGAAGATTTCAGATGTTTTCTTGAGCCACAGGACAATTTGAGTTGCACTTTCCACCAAAACTAACACAATATAAGTAAGTACTTCAAGTCACACCTCGCGCACAACATGGCAGTGCTCGCGGCAGCTGCTTCAAAAGATCATGACAGTAAACAATAACGATGCATTCTCAACTTTTTCATCTTTTGCTATTCTTATCAAGGAATTTCTTGAGCAATGGAGGCGTGCACTGTGCTCCACCCGAGGCCTTGTTCAACTCCTCGTCAGCCACGAAGCATTGCAACATAGAATCAACGGCCAGACCAAAGACGTTCGTTATCAACTTGCCCACAACATACCTAACAATCAACAAGAATAGTGAAGGAAATTCCCCTTCAACTTACCCAACCACGACAAAAATGATGATGGGCACCACTGGGCTGTTGATTTCACCATCGTACATTTCTAACGTGATGAAATAACCAGCCGCGGCAGTAGCGCCTGAGTCCAGCAGATGTATGCTTTAAAGTGAGGTAAGTTACCGAGCTTACCCATTATGAACAGATACCCAAATAGTCGCACTGCATTTCCGATCGCGCCGAGGACGCCGATGCGTGCGGCGTTACGGAGGATTAAGAAGAAAGCATTCTTGGCACTTGTACAGAATTTAGTGCCTGCCACCACTGATGGGAGGGAATAATGAGAAATAGTTGACCTAGTAAAGCCGTCTGAATGTAGGCATTCTTGTTGAGGAACTTTATGCATTTCTCAAAGCAAGCCACACAGTAGCTGAGAATTTTGAACAGAACCGTCATAACTTTATTGTGTTGCAATTTAGCTTGCTTCGCGAGATATCTGAGAAACCGAGAGAAGTCCAATTTGACGGCCGTCGGAAGCTGACGAGCTCACCTCAGCCACCACTTTATGAACTGAACGATTGCCAAAACGAAGCTCCCAAATGCTAAGGTCCCCTGATGATAGATAACGGCATTCTTGATGCCGGTTCGGAGAGGTTTAGTCCCGAGTGAGCCCTTAGCATCGTTGGGCGTAAAATACCTGCGGAATTCTCCTCACTACACACACAGGCGTCGTAGCTACCAGTGTTGGAATATAAGTTTACTTTCCTCAGCTGAGATCAGGAGTTTCCTCACTGATTATAGAAGTTTACAAACGAATTTGGGAAGAATTGTACGGACGCCAACAAGAATTTTCTCAAAATTTTCATATTGGTATTTGGTATTTTCATATTGGTAGCTACAGTGGGAACCGAGTTTTATGCAAGGTAATATTTCCAAAATTTTGAGAGTTCAAAAGTCAACTTTGAGTAATATCAACATGATAACAATGTGAATCGATTGACACCAATGTTTTAGAAGCGTTCCGTAGTCTCTATTCGAACTGAAGAAAGCCTTCTCAAAAATCTTGATATGCATAACTGTTTGGTTAGCACTGTACTTACCACACACCAACGGCACCAGCAATGATCATCTGCCCGAAAGCTATGACAAATGCGTTAACCCAGAGAAGGGAAAAGAACTCATAAGCGAATAAGGCATCTAAAATACAGTGTGGCTACACCTATGTAAAGGTCAGAGCTGTACCCAAATTATATCTTGGTTCCTTGCACGCGTACACATTCTGAATAAGCCCGTTGTCGTCGGTATATCGTCCGCTACAAGGAGTAAATTGCGCATTTCTCGTAGCGACTAAGGATTCTCACTATACATAGACCCGAGATGGTTCAACGCATTCATCATAACTCGCCGCTACTGCGTAGTCTGTGTAGGTGCCTAGCAGACTACTGAGCGCCATACTTTGTGAACTGCGCGTGCACACCTGTCTTGATCTTGGCGTCGGGAACGTTGCTGACGGTAAAGCAAACGGCGATTAGCCATACTGCCCACCACCCCATACACTTCAAAGTTTGCAGTCTGAAAATTTTCTTTTTTTTCTGGAGATTTTTCCAGTATATTTGCTCACACTGGAATTATCATAACCAACTTGTTGTTGTAGACGAACTGTGCAGCGACTTTGTTCAGAGCGATGCCCAGCCGAATCCTCTTGCATAGACAGAGCAGTAGTAGAAGGTAAAGGGCTGAAATTCAGAGGTGCATAATTACAGGCTAACTCCAACTTGGAGTTATTTTCATATTTTTCTACGTCTGTTGTCTCTCAGCTATAGATTTCCAAACTGAGCAACGACAGATTCATGAGAAGGTGAACTCTAGGGGTGAGCAATAGCACGCATTTTTAGGTCCGCCACATTCCCGAGCTGTCGCTCATAGCCGACCAAGAACATCCCTCGAGCTCACCAGCAAGTCCGAGTGCGCAATACGACGCGTACTTAATCACATCCCGCTGGACATCATCCGTTATGGAGTAACCATCGGCACACTCAGAGCTTCCCGTTAGACCTGCTCATGTCAGTTCGAGCTGTATCTCCTCATGAGATCCCTAGGGGGGTAACTCACCGGCTTGTAGTGCCTCCGTGCCAGAAGAGAGATCTTTTGCAGTGTCGAGGATAGAAGCTCCCACACACTTATTGATGTATCTGCATGGCATCGTGCCTCTGTAGCTTCGAATAGTGCGATGTAGAAACTAAGTTCTCTTATGCATTCGTGCTGAAGGAGATAGGATGCTTCCCGCTCCATGCAGGATTAATGAGAATGAGAGAGTAGTTCAACGATTGCTTCAACAACTGAGGCTAGCGAATTCAGGTAGGACAGGCGACTCTAAATCCGCCAAATTCTCGTTGTATCGTTCTCTCTTTTTTTCGAGAAGGCCCAATGTGTTTGCATCGAATAGAATATATATACGTCTCGTACGACCGTCGAGATCAGCATAGCATCAAGCAACTTGAGATGTGTA